ATGTTGCCACAAGATTTTTATGACAGATTGGTAGCAGAAGTAAAGAAGAAGATGGAACCGTCGTCATTGAAACCGATTGAAGTAAATGACCCGTCTGGAACTCTGCTTTGCTACAATGCCACTACTAATCCCAAAGCACCAATGATGACGGTGCATTTCGATGGCGGTGCTAAAGTGCAGCTAGCACCAGCACAAACGTTTTATCAAAACAAACAAGATAAGTTGTTCTGTTTTGGAACGCTCAACTCAAGCAATCCATTGAGTGAGGGTGTTGGTCTTTATGGAAGCTATGCTCAGTCAAATTTCTTGATTGGTTTCGACCTCGAGAAAATGTTGGTCTCCTTCAAGGCAACTGATTGCAGAAAGCCTAGCACTCGTACTGCTAATGGTGCTTCTGCCACTCCCTTTTCGTATTTCTTCAACTACCTTTTCAGTTTTATTTTGGTTGCAATTTTGTACTTCTAGAAAGTAAGTTGGAAAGAACATACTGTATGTAAGCATTTCATTAGCAAAAGAACGAACATTTCTAAGATTCTTTGATTCAGCGAGCTTATAGGATCACATATGCTATCAAAACAAAGAACAATCGTCATGCAAATTTAAGAGTCTTAATCCCTAGGTTTGTTTATATACTGCCAAATTGGCTTTCAAGAAAATGGTCATCTAACCAGAAGAACTTCCCACACAAGTTAAAACAACTTCTTTGCAAAACATTTAATACTAAAAACATGAACATATTTAATTGAACTAGCATCCTAAATTTGTAAAGAAAAAAATATAGCATATCCAATCATTAATCCAGTGAGTTGGAAACAAAGTGGCATTTCCGACGACAACGAAACAGTTGACCTGCACAAAAACCTTCCTATCCAAGGTAACAGAGTCTCCTAATTAAGTATGAATACAACTATACAATTATGATTAGAATTCCTGGAACTGGGAGATAGAAGGTACTTAATTAAGCAATCTTCCGTTCTTTTCTTTTGAGTCTCCTAAACTTGATGGCCAAGTGATGCTGGATTTCATGCACAACCAGTTAACCCCCATCACAATTCACAATATACATGCTCTTTGGAACTCAAGACAAGAGTACTGATATTGCTTCTAACATTCCTTGAGGTAATTAAGCATTAATTATTTCTGATTATTATGTAATTAACCAATTATAACCCTGTACTGTACTGTGTATATAATTGAGTCTGAACTCTGAAGATGAGGGGCAAGCATTGACAAATCTTTCTCGACTGTATGTTTGAAACTTCAGTTCCTTGACCAGAGCCAGAGGAACGTCTGGCATCTAAAAGTGGACACGCAAGTGGTATTCCTGGAGTTTTTTTCCCAGAAAAACCGTAGCTCGGGGGCCTCTTCCAAATTCTCTAAAAACAAACAATGCCTGCCACTGCAACCATAAGATGAGAAAAATAGATCACTTCTTGTATTTAAGGTCTAATTGTACATTTCCTGGAATCTGCCTCCATCTCCTTGTCTTGTCTTATACAATTAGTATGTTCTAGTGACTATGATTTTCATCATTTATCTAATTCTATGCCATAATTCAGCTACAGCTACACCAGTTGGCAATAATAATTATAATATTAATGGCGGGTTTAGTGTCCAACCTATCCACCAAAACTCCCAAAATTCACCATTCTACAATCATAACAACAGAAACAAAGCTTTTCGACGTCTCATGAGCCCGTCCAAGGATGCAAACCTCACAGTCAGAAGTGAAGCGTGACATGGACGATGGTGAAGGTGCACAACTTATGAGGCTCTCAATTGGAACTCCACCACATGATATTTATGCTGTGGCGGTTACAGGAAATACGCTATTATGGACACAATGTGAACCATGTCCCGGTTGCTACAAGCAGAAGAATCCTAAATTCGACCCGAAAAAGTCCTCAACATATAGGCTCCTTCCATGTGATGCACCAGAATGTAACGTTGAGAATGATCCTAGGTCTTACTCTTGCTCAAACTCATCAATTGATGATCATTATCATCAAAAGGTTTGCAATTACAATTACTCTTATCTGGACGAAACAGCTACCGCTGGAGTTGTGGCCAGAGAGACAGTTACCTTGACATCCACGTCAGGGAAGCCTATTTCCTTCAAAAATATTGTGTTTGGTTGTGGACATAACAATTACGCGATGGGTACTGCCTCTCCTGAAAATGAAATGGGAGTAGTTGGGCTTTCATTTGGGAACCTGTCCTATGTTGGAGGCAGAAAGTTCCCCCATTGTTTCGTGCCGTACGATCCTGGTCATCCGAATGTGGCAAGCATGATGACTTTTGGGAATGGGAGTGAGGTTTCAGGTGAAGGTGTGGTCTCAACACCTTTGATCAACAAAGAAGACAATAACTTATATTATGTGACAGCTGAAGGAATTAGTGTTGGAGATAAGTTTGTGCCTTTTAACTCATCAGGGTCTGTTTCAAAAGGGAACATGCTTCTTGTCTCAGGAACACAAGTGACCACAATACCACAAGATTTTTATGACGGGTTGATACCGCAGGTAAAGAAGGCGGTTGATCCAACCTGGTTGAAACCCATTGAAGTAAATGACACAAACCCTAGAGATGGAGCTCTGCTTTGCTATAATACGACCATGGACCAGCTCAAAGGACCATCACTGACAGTGCATTTTGATGGTGGTGCTAAAGTGCAGTTATCACCAGCACAAGCCTCCTATTGATATCACCAACATAAACTGTTGTGCTTTTCAGTGCTGAACGCCACTGAAGCCACGATAGTGTTTCTATTTATGGAAGCTATGCGCAGTCCAATTTCTTGATTGGTTTCGACCTTTAAAAAATGATGGTCTCCTTCAAGCCAACTGACTGCGCAGCAAAGAGTGATAGTTCTAGTAGTTCTATTGCCATGCCCTTTTCCTCTTCCTTCGCCTACCTTTTAAATTTTCTTTTACTTGTCACTTTTTCCCTCTACAAAGAATGACAGTGGCTGTATTAATTGCTATGTGGGAGGGTATGCATGTAACCCAAGAATTCGTTCATTCTTTGTTGATTGAAATTAATTTCTCTTAATCTTTCTTTTTTTAATACAAGCAATAGTCTAAACTACAAGGGGAGGGTGATTCCACACACACACGCTACCAAGGTGCCATAGGGTTCGAACCTGAGACCACACTGATTTGCAAATCAAGGCTTAGCAACATGCTGACTATACAAGTTACGGTGCATATGCCACCATTGAAAATCCAAGCATTGCATCATGACTTCTTTGATTTTCTCTTAAGGATTAATTAGCTAAGAATGCCATAAAAATCCATGCATCCACAGATTTAGCCATTAATGCAAATCCCCATAGATTAACTCTGTATCTACCACCTTGCATTTAAGGCTTTGTGTACTCTCTCTGGTTTATATATATCATCCCTGAACTTGCAGGTATACAAGAAATCTCATTGATTGCACTTTGTCTTTTCCAGTATATGAAATCTCCTCTCCTCTCTCATGGCAGCCTCAAAAACTGTCATTTTCCATTCACATTTTGGTGCCATGACTATGCCGCAGCAGGCAATGATGTTAATGGTGGGTTCAGTGTCAAACTTATCCACCGAAACTCCCCAAATTCACCATTCTACACTCATAACAAAACTCCTTCAAAGAGTAAACAAAACAATATTCTTCAAGAGGCCAATGTTGTATCCAAATAGCCCACAATCAGAAATAAGACCCGAGAATGGGGAGTATCTTTTGAAGCTCTCCATTGGAAATTCACCGGTCAATGTTTACGGCATTGCTGATACTGGCAGTGACCTATTGTGGCCACAATGTATATCGTGTGAAGGCTGCTACAAGCAGATTAATCCCAAGTTCGATCCCAAAAAGTCCTCAACATATAGTGGTCTTCCTTGTGCTGTACAAGAATGCCAGTGTATCCCCACTTCTTGTTCACCTCGAAATCTTTGCAGTTATGATTATGAGTATGAAGACGATTCAGTGACCGAAGGGGTATTGGCCAAGGAGACAAACCTTGAGATCCACCTCAGGGGAGGCTATTTCATTGAAAAACATTGTGTTTGGCTGTGGACATAACAATACTGGGACTTCGAGTGAAATTGATATGGGAATTTTCGGGCTTGGAGGGGGGCCCATATCACTTGTTTCTCAATCAATTGGGTTCCTTGCTGGGAGGCAGAAAGTTCTCCTACTGTTTGGCCCCATTTCATACTGAGCCAAGCATTGAATGCAACATCACCTTTCGGAAAGGTAGTGAAGTGTTGGGTGAAGGTGTGGTGTCAACGCCATTGGTGTTACAAGACAACCTCCCATTTTATCACGTCACAGTAAAAGGAATTAGTGTTGGAGGTACGTTTTTGCCTTTTGATTCATCAGGGAAAGTTTCAAAAGGCAACATGTACCTGGACTCAGGCACACCAACAACATATATATCAACAGATTTATATGACCGATTGGTGGCAGAATTGAAGAAGCAGATTCCAATGAAACCCGTTGAAGATGACCCAAATTTGGGAACTCAGCTTTTCTATAAAAGCAAAACCAATCTCAGAGGACCAATATTGACTGTGCATTTTGAGGGTGATGCTGATGTGCGGTTGACACCAACACAGACATTCATTCCACCAAGAGATGGGGTTTTCTGCTTTGCAATGACAAATGACACCAGCGATGGTAGTATTTATGGAAACTTTGCTCAGTCAAATTTCCTGAATGGTTTTGACCTTGAAACAAGGATGGTTTCCTTCAAGCCAAGTGATTGCACAAAAGAAAAACTACCATAATAAACCTCGTGCCTTCTTATATAATTCTGTGGAAGTTTGATATGCATTAGTTATCTTATTGACGACCAATTTATCTGGCAACCTCTTCTAACAGATCAGAGGCCATTGAAAAGCTAATGGGCTTCAGCCTTCAACGTTATTCTATGTACTATAATATGTTAGGTCAAGTTCAAGTAGTGATAAAACAACCAAAGAATTTAGCATATAGAACAAGCACACAAGATGCAGCAGATGAACTTTGTTGATACACCAGTAAATCCGACAACAGGTACTATAAATATTGAAAGTTGTAGGCTATGGAGACAACACGAGAAACTTTATTGGTTCTTTCAGGGATTTTGGACCCTACGACAACAAACAAAAGAGAAACTTTTATTGGTTCTTTCAGGGATTTTGGACCCTTCGACAATATGAGAGGGTCATCACAAAATCTTTGGCTGAGGAGCCAACTACTGCCGGTACCTTTTTTGGTGTTGTTGCTGTTCGAAACCAGAGATCTACTAGGTTTTCTAGTTGCAATGTCGGAAGCACTGACTGACCCCGGCACATTATCTCCACCTACAAGAAAGGAATATAAAAACTTAAAGCATAAGTGAAAATGCAGCCAGGCCCTATCACCCCTTTTACTGATAATTAAAAGGAAAACATTCATTTCAAAATGCATGCAATGAACATATAAGTCAAAGAGTTATTCCTATATTTTGCATAGTAAAATGTGACACTTGAATCATAGCATCTATGACAGTAGGAAGATGCACTCTCTGCGTATGAAAGGAAACTGAACAGAGCCTCCCTCGGTTGCCCCACTAAACTACTTTTGGATAGATAGAATAGGATTTTAGTCAAGTTAAAGGCAACAAAGATATACTCACTTCATCTTCGCTGTTAAGTTCAAGTTTCTTCGCAAGGTACTTCTGGATGAATGATACAGGTATTTTACCATCCCTGTGAAAGAAGAGGGAAAGTCAATACAACTAGTTTATGCAACTAAATAACCAAATGGAAAAAGTATCTTCCACACTGTAATAATAAGCCAGATAACTGCAGGAATTCAGAATAACAAGTAGGAAACACTCAAAAATAGTAATATTGTAAAATCTAATACATGCTTCAACATATAACAATCATCAATAGTAGATCGATGGAGATCTATCAAAATCATTTCTCAAATACATCTAAAGTCTAAATCTTAAACCAGTTCAAACCATCAAAAGAATATACATGTCAAGGCCTATTCAGATAACAGCTCATCATAAAGCTTTATGGTTTTTCTTTTTCTAACAAAATATTACGTGACTTGTTGCTTTACTTTTGTTATATACAGAATGCTCCAAAATAAAAATAAACTATAAAAGAAACATGCGTGCATACTCACACACAAAATGACACAAAGCTAAACCTATATTTTGGTACTCGTTGCTCTATTCCATTCATGTTTAAGATGATTAAATCGCTAATACAAGAGAATAAATCAGTATAAAGCGAAATAGAAGAACCTCAAAGCAAGAAACATGACTACAGGAACTCACTTTATTCTCAAGTAAGATGATGGTATCTGTGGCAAGGAACCATCTCCTTTCCTGAAGACATTTACCATGACAATCAGAGATCAACATGAAAGAAATCACAAATTGAGCTCGCCAAATACATAAAACCAGATGAATTTTATAACCAAAAGAGCATCTCACCAATTTTCAGTTGCAACCAAGGAGAACCAAATAGTACTATTTCTTCTGCTATGTTTATCTCCACATGCATCTAACATAGCTTGAGCCGAAGCACTTGACTCCCCAGATGGAGCTACCCTGTTACGATTACCTGCTCGCAACCTTCTATTTTTCACCGGTCCTGCAACCCCTGTCCCGTTACTGTTATTTTTTCCTCTTGCACTTTGTCCGGGCTCCTTTAGTTTTGTTTTAGGCATATAAGCATCACTATCCAGAGCATTTGGTGACTTTTCTTCTGCTGCCTTATTTTCAGACATATAAAGTTCACCATCAAGGGCATTGAGTGGCTCTGATTTGGCATGGAACAGCCCTTGTGAATTTGACTTAGAAGACTTGGTTCGGTTAGCAGCCTCTACAAGACAGTTTAAGGGTGTCCACAGATCAGCTTTGCCTTCTATTATTTCAACGTCATTATTCATATCTCTATTAGGGTTTTGCTGATGTGAAGGCTCAGGCGAGTCCTGCATGTTGAGTGGACATGCAAACAGATATCGTAAATAGGATTGTTTGTCAGTTTTTCACACTTTGATTAGGGGTCTACAATCAATCGCCACATTATATATACATATATATTGTCCTCAAGAGTTTTTTTTTATACATAATTTCTCTCGTTGGTTGTCATCGCCATTCCACATCATCTTCCCTAACTGTGTCAATGCCTCTCCATTCTATTGTGTTACAACAGGTTGGGCAAGATCATCATTTTTGCTCAAGCTTGAGGGAGAATGTTGAAGAATAAAAGTAATTAAGACCAGTTAGAATATTTAATCTCCTGCCATAAAATAAAATGTTGTTCCCTATTTAGTTTAAGAGTGAGCTAATTTCCTAAAATTAAGGCATTTACTTGTGATTAGAGTTACGATTAATGTATCATATCTTTTCATTAGTTTCTCAATATAAAGCATTGGACTTGTTTGGTTTTGCTATAAATTAATCAACATAAAGCACAAATAATCAAAATCATGCCTGTCTTTACCTGCATCTTATTTCGTGCACCTCTATCAAGAGATTCAGTTGAACTAGAACTCATTGGATGATCTTCTGTAGAATCATCTCTCTTCATAGGTTCTTCAGCAGAAAAACTGCATCCTCGTAAAGCAGCAGCCTTTCTGGTCAAAGCTCTTGATCTCCTTCCAGTCAAACCAGTCTGCATTGGAACTTTTGGGGTACTAACTACTAATGAAGATAATGATCTCTCCTTCCTTTTCACTGGCAATGAAATTGAAGGTGTAACTTCATGAGTAACTTCTGGAGTTACTTCGGGAGTAATTTCAGGTGCATCGATTTTCCTTCGTTTAAGGGGAAATATCTTGGCTCTAATATCTTGCAAATTATGGTCTGGCCTGCAAATCAAATGGCATCGTAAGCATGTGTGAGAACACTTCAATGTAAAGCTCCAGCACACATTAGCAACAATACGATTGGGAAACTAGTACAATGAAACAACTATGAGCTTGCACAAAATCATCTTATAATTAATGAGCATGTAGGAAGCCTAGTTTCAGAAATTGGCATCTCAAGAAAGCTTTATTTATGGGAGGGAAAATCCACCTTTATCATGATTGACCATGCATCAACTTCGTACACAAAATCGGGGTTATACCTGAGTTTTTCCACTGGTAGACAGCCCAGATCAATATTGCATACAGGACAGCAGTCCACCTCCTCATCTGAAAGCTTCTCATAAATGCACTTCCTGCAAACTGGTTTGGAATTCAAGATTTTATAAATATTGGCAGTGAATTACTGATAAAGTAAAAAAAAAAAAAAATCTTACAATCAAAACCTTTTCTTCATTTCTATGGGGATGCATGGCAGCTTATCTGACCCACATAAAAAAAAATTAAAATTAAAAATTAAAAAGAAAGAAAATAAAATTTCGTAACGTCCTCAGGTGTTAATCAACAAAAAGAAGAAAGTGTCAAAACACAGAATTTAAATTAGACATATCAGTTTCCAATTTGCAAAAGATGGGACGAAATGCAAATCAAATACGAAACAATCTGAGAGAAAAATCAGAATTTGCATGATAGACTCAAACCCCAGATAACAAAAGCACAAATTATGAAGAAGCAGAATCATAAAATGAAAAACAAAAGGAGACCCAGATCACAAAATTAGCACAAAATCAAGAAACAATTGAAGGAAGGGAGATTAAGAGGAATTAACACGTATGAAGGCAGAGTGATATGGTTGTAGCCTCCTTCAATAGCTTATTACAAAGAGGGCACGTCATGCATGCCTCCAGTGTCTCCCTCTTCACTTTCACCACCTGACCCGCCATGTCTTCCTCCTTATTTTACCTCAAAGCCTCTGTGTCGGCTTCCCTGTATCTCTGTCCAAACCACATTCAACCCCAGAGGCAACAAGAGAAACGCAGAGCAAAGAGTGGATAAATATGCGAAAAAACAAAGCTTGGTTTGGCTTTTATTGGGACGTGTTGGATGGTTGAAGGTGTTGGATCTGAGAGAGTGAAGAAAGTGGCGGGTTTTGGGGTGAAATTAAGAGATGGGGTTTGATTGTTTGCGGGAAAATTACGTGGGGTTTGTTGGGTTTAGGACAAAGAGAGCGCGGTGGGGTTGTTTGAGCTTCTTCGATGAAAAAACATAGATGAGTTATAATAAGAGAGAGAGAGAGAGAGAGAGATGTTAGAAAGAAAGCAAAGCAAAGGCCTTTTTTTGTGCGTGCGACGGTGCAACTGTGGAGTGTGTGTCTTGTGCCGCAACAAAGACCAAAGACCGAGTTTGAGATTGGTTTTTTTTTTTGTTTTACCAACTCCAACTTTGGATTGGATTTATAGGAGTGAGACTGTGAGAGGGTGCGCGTCGTTTTGAGACTGCTACGTACCATACCATGTACACGTAATGAGTATGCCTTGCACCTACCCCGGCCCCCGTTTATATTTCCTTGTATTTATTACTCTCTTCCTTTTTCGTTGAATTCTAGACCAAGGTTGTTTTGGAAAGTGATGGATTTTTTACTATTTTCGCTGGCCAATTTTATCCAAACATGGTATTAATTTTAACATATACAAAAAATGTGATCCTATTCATTGTACAAGGAAACGATGTGACATGCTAATGCGGCATATATCGTAATTTCATTTAAATTATTATGTGTTGGGTTACTATCGTAATAATTGTGTACGTATCATAATTTGAAAAGATTCTTATAAGACATTATCTCGACATGCAACGTAGTTTAAATTATTCTCGTGTTGGGTTTCTGTTGTAATAATTGCTTACTTACCTAAATTCGTGAGGATTTCTAAGAGCGCCGTCATTTTCACACGCAACGTAACTTAAATTACTATTGTTTTGGGTTACAATTGTAATAATTATTTACGTTCCATAATTTGAGAGGATTCGTAACAACGCCGCCACATCAGCATGCAGCGTAACTGAAAAAGAGGGTTTCTCCACTTTTATGCCCATTACTATTGAAGTTGATCCATATTTTGTTTGGGCTAAATGGGGGGCCGAAGCCCAAATAGGAAAGAAGAAGTTAGTCTATTTTTGGTTTAGGCTAAATGGGAGCCGAAGCCCAAATAGGAAAGAAGAACTTAGTCGGGATAGGAACTTGTTAATTAAGAAGATTGGGCACAACCCTATCAGGAGGGGCCTCCAGTGGAAAAGCCCAAACTATATATATTTTGGGAACAAGAATTCTACAGTAAGGGCTTTATACGTGGCCTTTAGGTGAGTTATTATCTCTTAACTATTGGATTCGTTGATTTATATATTTATTTCTTTGTTATTTAGCAATCCCAAAGTTTTTTTTTTTTTTTTTTCAATCAAACGGTTAAAAGATAAGACCTCACCTAAATGCCATATATAAGACCCTCACTCCCTTTGGTTGAGAAGGCCACTGGCAGCCGTGTTGCACCAAAGAGAGTCTGCTGCAAGTCTTCACAAGCACAAGCATATATGATTCAACATATATATATATATAGCTATATTATGGTGCAATTATTCACCATGGTCACATTTATTCATAAGGTCGAAGGTTACATATCAATACATATATAATGCTTGTTATTATTGAAGAAGCAATTGCACTTCAACTTATTCCATCAGGAAGCTTATTTATAAAAACTGGTAACTAATAATTAGGGGGTATTACGGGCTTAGATGGAGAGGCTTGAATAATTTAGTCACCACAGTCAACAAAGTCGTAGTTGACAATAAGGTGGCCTTGGGCATTGCCATTGCCGTCGGTGTCAATTTGGTTAAACATATTCACGTCCAAGTCTAAGCCTCCGTTGCTGCACTGATCCACAATCCTCACTGTTACTTGATCTCCTGTCCTAGTGTTTGTCACCTGCACAGTGCACACACGCATTAATATCAATGTCAACAGGTCTCAAGTTCGACGACTGGCACGCGTTGAATCAACGTTTCATCATCATTACGAGGGAAAAGAAGGAAACATGTAAATAGAGATTGTAATTTACATAAGATTAAGAAAGATATGCACGTACCAAGAGGCACTTTCCACAAGCATCTTGTCCGGTAGGGCCAACAGGGCCGCAGAAGGCAGTCCAGCCATATTTGCTGCGCCATGCAAAGGGCTGATCGGCATCCCATGTGGCGCAGTAGGCACTAACAGCCCGCAAGTCCCAGTTGTTCTGCTGCGGGTTGTACAGGTGGTATGTGGATCTGACATTTGTATCACTCTGTCCCCAAGCACTTCCCACCAGAATCATGCAAACTAACACCACACAGGCACAGCAACATGGCCTCATCATATTATTCTTCTTCCCCACCATTTTTGTGAATATTTGTTAGTGGTACACAATAATAAAAGTAAGGATATTTTGGGAGATGATCGATGAGATTTAGATGATTTAGAGAAGCTTTGTGGTTGAATTTATAGGCCGGAGGCTGTGGTGTTGCAATCACTAATCTACCCTTAATTAATTGGCTTGGGATGTTGGAATTAATTGTAGTATGGCGTTGGCGTGCGTGAATTGTCAACCACTTTAACCTTCTCGACTTCCTTGAATGATTTTTGCATTTGATTTGGATGCAATTTATATACTATAGGACGTGGCAAGACGGCATACAGCACATGCATGGAGACACCTGTCAGCCTGTGCAATTGTATACAGCACAAGAAGAGATACAGAGAGAGAGAGAGAGAGAGAGAGAGAGAGAGAGAGAGAGAGAGAGACTACACTTGTCTGGTTTGCTTGATATTTTTGGGGCTATCTAGTATTTGCATATTGCATGTGAGTTAAGTTAGTTGTTCAAGATAGTATTGTGTTCGCTTTTCTGATCCGAGCTCAAATATACTCATCATCATATAATTTATAATATGCTATATATATAGTACTAGTTGGAATTGTAGAATGGAGACTATCTAGACCAATGCAAAAAATCAGGTAGAAGACGACTTTCGAGATAAGGTAAGGTAGGCTTTTTCATCGGTTGAATTGAGTGTTATATAATTATACATTCACAAACACAAGTGAAAAGCATAGATGAATACAAAGCAGTTAGAATTTGTGTACCCAAAAAAGAAAAAGAAAAAGAAAAAGAAAAGCAGTCTTTATTATTCTAGCGGTGGCGAGCATCCGATTAATCAATGTATGAAGTAATAATTTAGTAAATGGCGGGTGACTAAAAGTGCTTAATCTAGAAGCAGCCAGGAAGACACATATGAGTCATGACAAACAATTTGGCTTGACCTTAACTTTGTATATATAATAATAATAAGACAAACATGTAGCCACGCCAAATACTATGACCATTGGGGGGTGAGGGGACGATGGATATACTTGTATTGTACGTAACGTTATATGTTAATTGGCAGGCGCAGGCGCAGGCGCAGCCCAGTTTGGGTCCTTAGATCCATCTCATCTCAAATTCACAAGAAGAAACTGCGCTGAGCCAATTAACATATATTATATATGATGGATGTACATTTGTTTTGTAACAAGGATATTGGCATCAGTACTAGTTTAGTTTGGCAACCAATGCCATTGCCAGCTTTCCTGTCTGTCTGCCGTCCTTGCTCAACCAATATATCTCACTTTACTATGATGAGACGTAAATAACTTGATATGATAAGTTAGATACGGACCATTCATCTGCTTTTTCCTGTTAATTAAATAGCCATATATATATATATATATATAATTCATAACAAAGATTGCTTGCTTTGCCCTCTTTGTATATATAATCACTAAGTATATATTTCGTAGCCAGTTCCTACTTCTTGTTTCTGGTGTGCGTGGCCGTAGCAGTACATGCAGGCCTGGATTTTGTTATCACTCTAAAAGAGGTTGATAGAGCTCTATTTAGAGCTTTGATGGAATCTTTAGGAGCTCTAAAGGCATCTCTCCCACAATAGGAGGCTCTATTTTCGGGAATCCAATTATAATGTAATTTGATTCATTTGCTTTTATTTATTTATTAACTTATTATGTTTTAATGTATGTTTATGTTATGTTAGAATTTTTTATTTTTTATTTAACATTTAAAACCAAAAAAATCAAAATTTGGACAAGATTTAAATAAAACTTGTCTGGTTTGCTTGATATTTTTGGGGCTATCTAGTATTTGCATATTGCATGTGAGTTAAGTTAGTTGTTCAAGATAGTATTGTGTTCGCTTTTCTGATCCGAGCTCAAATATACTCATCATCATATAATTTATAATATGCTATATATATAGTACTAGTTGGAATTGTAGAATGGAGACTATCTAGACCAATGCAAAAAATCAGGTAGAAGACGACTTTCGAGATAAGGTAAGGTAGGCTTTTTCATCGGTTGAATTGAGTGTTATATAATTATACATTCACAAACACAAGTGAAAAGCATAGATGAATACAAAGCAGTTAGAATTTGTGTACCCAAAAAAGAAAAAGAAAAAGAAAAAGAAAAGCAGTCTTTATTATTCTAGCGGTGGCGAGCATCCGATTAATCAATGTATGAAGTAATAATTTAGTAAATGGCGGGTGACTAAAAGTGCTTAATCTAGAAGCAGCCAGGAAGACACATATGAGTCATGACAAACAATTTGGCTTGACCTTAACTTTGTATATATAATAATAATAAGACAAACATGTAGCCACGCCAAATACTATGACCATTGGGGGGTGAGGGGACGATGGATATACTTGTATTGTACGTAACGTTATATGTTAATTGGCAGGCGCAGGCGCAGGCGCAGCCCAGTTTGGGTCCTTAGATCCATCTCATCTCAAATTCACAAGAAGAAACTGCGCTGAGCCAATTAACATATATTATATATGATGGATGTACATTTGTTTTGTAACAAGGATATTGGCATCAGTACTAGTTTAGTTTGGCAACCAATGCCATTGCCAGCTTTCCTGTCTGTCTGCCGTCCTTGCTCAACCAATATATCTCACTTTACTATGATGAGACGTAAATAACTTGATATGATAAGTTAGATACGGACCATTCATCTGCTTTTTCCTGTTAATTAAATAGCCATATATATATATATATATATAATTCATAACAAAGATTGCTTGCTTTGCCCTCTTTGTATATATAATCACTAAGTATATATTTCGTAGCCAGTTCCTACTTCTTGTTTCTGGTGTGCGTGGCCGTAGCAGTACATGCAGGCCTGGATTTTGTTATCACTCTAAAAGAGGTTGATAGAGCTCTATTTAGAGCTTTGATGGAATCTTTAGGAGCTCTAAAGGCATCTCTCCCACAATAGGAGGCTCTATTTTCGGGAATCCAATTATAATGTAATTTGATTCATTTGCTTTTATTTATTTATTAACTTATTATGTTTTAATGTATGTTTATGTTATGTTAGAATTTTTTATTTTTTATTTAACATTTAAAACCAAAAAAATCAAAATTTGGACAAGATTTAAATAAAAAAAGTTATTAGAGAAAAGAAAAAAAAACTAGCTATTTACTTTTATACAAATTTATAAATAAACCCAATCCTAGACATGTATTTATAAAAAAAAACTCAAACACTATTTAAACATAGAAACACACCCAAAATCAACAATTGTATATTTTTTGGGTGTGTTTATAAATGGATTTTGAGTGTTTGTTTTTTTTATAATTTCAGCCTCCATTTTGAGTGTTTTAGTGAAACTCCTAAATAAATTTTTTTATGTGCTAGCGGCCCGCGCATGTGGTTTGGGGCTATGCGAGACTCAGTAGTTGTGCGTCTTGGGTGTTTGAGGAGAGAAAGAAGTGATTCGTGTGAGGACCAGTCGGGCTCAAGGGGCTACATTCATGTCCACATATTTGAGGACAGATCCCGTGGGTCTTTAGCATTTAGAGCCCAAAATTTGTCCCACTGGGAATGCTTTATTGGCATTGGGCTGCATATGTGAGAGATTTGTGGTAGTTGAGCCCCAAATAGAGCTCCATTGGGAATGGCCTTACCAGCAAGCAGGAGCCTAACTAATTCGAAACATTTCATTCATTACTTTGTTTTCTTCCAGATATTAGCTTCACTATATTTTACGACTGTAATTAATTACGATAATTACATGAGATGATTTAATCGCCACAGTTGACTATAAGTTGGCCTTGGCCAGAGCCTTTCCCATCAGTGTCCAGTCGTTTAAACACACCGTCACCCAAAGCTAGGCCTCCAGTGCTACACTGACTCATCTACAGTTCTCACCGTCGCCTGTGCCCCTGTCCTCACATTTGTCGCCTGTGCCCCTGTCCTCACATTTGTCACCTGCCAAAAAACTGATTCATCTTCAATAATCTGTATGCTGCTTGTAATATACTAAATCATATTATATCAATTATAACTTGATTTAAGGAGGGTAGACATGGATTAGGTCTGTGTGTCCAAGTTCCAAATTAATTATTTGCTGTTTGCTTTTTGGTTTTTGGTTTTTTCTGGAATGATTAGAAGCAAAGTGGACCAAAGAAATCTACAGATTCTGAGTATCAGCCAAGAGATGAAGAAATACTTATCATCTTCACCGGAAAGAAACAAAAAAGAAAGAAATTCGTGTCATGTTTTGGCAATTCAAAAGCGACACCTTAATTAATATGGGCAACTACTTTTTGACTAATGGAGATAAACAAACAAACAAACAAGATAGACAATTTCCTATTTCATAAATAAGCATACATGCATGCATGATGGAGAACCGATAACAAATGTTACCCAAGGAGCAGCTTCCCTACCTAGCCTAGGGTTTTATTTCTTAAAATTAGGATTATTATTACATGTGAGATTTAATCGCCACAGTTGACAAACTGGTAGTTGACCCTAAGGTGGCCTTGTGCATGTCCTTGCCCATCAGTGTCCAGTCGTTTAAACACACCCTGGTCCAAATCCAGGCCTCCATTGCTGCACTGATCCACAATTCTCACCTTCGCCTGTGTCCCTGTCCTCACATTTGTCACCTGCAAATTCAAATTTAAATTCATTTTCAATAGTTTGTTTGTTTGTAATTGTATGTTGTTTTGTCGTAATTAAGTTAATTAATTATAATTACGTACCGTTAAGCACTTGCCACAAGAAGTTTGTCCACGAGGCCCAACAGGTCCGCAAAACGCAGTCCATCCAAACTTGCGACGCCATTCCAAAGGCTTGTTAGCATCCCAAGTGGAGCAATAAGCACTTGCTGCTTTCAAGTCCCAGTTAATCTTCTCTGGGTTGTAGATATGGTACGTGGCTCTAACGTTGCTTGCACTTTGGGCACTTGCTGCTTTCAAACTCATGACACAAACCAATAACAAACACATTAACTTCGCCATTTTCATCAACTCTCTCTCTCTCTCTCTCTCTAACGTGATAATATCTTTTTTAATTGTTGGATATGGGGTGTTGTGCAACCTAAACTGCTCATTCATTTATAGTAGTAGGTTTGCAGGGTCGATGTTAAATTACTGTTGACAGCAGCACTTGTGCCAACCTTGACTTCCAAGCTTGACTCGGACTTGTTGGTCAGCAGCAATTAATTGCTTTTTGCATTTTCTTGAATGACTTGAATGAAGCAAAGTTGACCAAACCAAACCAATGTCAAGAGACTCAATCTCAGCCTAATTGTAATGGTCAAGAAATTCTTATGATGTGTGACATTCAAAAGTAGAGATAGAGTTTAAGAAGGTGGTGGAGGGTCCACAACATTGTGCTTCATCTGGTCAAAAACTGAGGCTAATGGATAAACAAACAAACAAGATATGATCGTCGTGTCAATTCAATTCATATCCATATAAGTTGGCCGCAGCACAAGTTTTGCCACCGATCACCACATTGTTGGGCCATTGCAAGGAATACTGACCCAGCCCAACTTGGAAATTAGGTCCTCAACTCAAGCTTTTTGGACCGATGTGATACAGATATACGATCCAGGTGTTTAATCAATGGGCCCAGTCCAATATCCATTCTCCAATGAAACAAAAACAAGAGCGAATGAGGTTATAACTCAAGTGGTTAAGAGCATTTTGAGGTCCTAGGTTCGAATATCTCGTCTTCAATATCGCTTGTATCAAAAAAATCAAAAACAAAATGAAGAGGGATAGAAAAAGTTGCCTTCACGTCCAAGGCTAGAGTTCAACCTTGAGGAAATTAAGATATACCCTTGGCTACATTTAAAGCTAAGCACAATGTTGCATAAACAAAACTAATAATAAATAAGTATATAGCCCTTTTTACATAGACAAACAAACAAGAAGCATATGCAACATTTAAACAAACAAAAGTAGAATGTATTTATCCGATTACACAGATAAAAGAATCCTGGAAAGGAAAGGACAAATTTTGCAAATCCCAAGTTTTATGTTGGAGTTTGAGAAAAGAAGAAAGAACATGTTGTTGCACCTTGCAAATCCCGAGTTTTATGTTTATAAAGCAAGAAGATATTCTCTTACCATAAGGAGGCGAAGGAATATATAATCTTTAAATTTGCATCGTTAGGCATCTTTGAAAGGGCAAATTAATTTCTCCAATCCCAAGTTTTATGCG